TCATAGTCCATTTACAGAAACGCACGTTTGAGTTTTGTCAAAGTTGTGACGTCTGTCGTCTCATAATGTGCTTGGAGCGTGATTACAACGTTTTAAAGCCGGTGTTTTCTTTGTTCCTTTTTGGTTTTTTTTCTTTTGTTTGGTTTTCTTTTGTGTTTGTTTTTGTTTTTTAATGTTTTTATTTATTTTTGAGACAGAAACAGAGCATGAGCAAGGGAGGGTCAGAGAGAGAGGGAGACACAGAACGTGAAGCAGGCTCCAGGCTCTGAGCTGTCAGCACAGAGCCCGACATGGGGCCTGAACTCATGGACTGTGAGATCCTGACCCAAGCTGATGTTGGATGCCCAACTGACTGAGCCACCCAGGCGCCCCATTGTTTTTTGAGCAGTTGTAGGTTCACGGCGACTAAGGGGTGCTGTAGAGCTTCCCACACACCCTCTGCCTGTCCCTGCTCATGCACAGCCTCCCCCATGACCGGCATCCCCCCGGACGGTGCTTTGGTACAAGTGATGAATGTGGACGGACCACCCAGAGCCCAGAGTTTAATTTACGTGAGGCTTTATTCTCGGTGGTGCACATCCTACGGGTTTGGGCAAAGGTACAGTGACCTCTAAGCACCATTATGGTCCCAAACACAATAGATTCACGGCCCAAAAAGCCCCGTGTGCCCCTCCTCTCCAGCCCTGCCTCCTCCCCAACCCCAGGCCACCACCGATCTTTCTGTCTGCATAGTTTTGAGCTTTCCAGAATGTTCTACCGCTGGAGTCATATTGGCTTGTTTCACTGCTGAAGGACACCTAGGCGGCTTCCCAGTTTCGGGAACGAGGAATAAAGGTGCCAGACCCATCTGTGTGCAGGTTTCCGAGGGGGCACGTTTTCCGGTCCAGGGGTCTGGCCGGGGGTCCGTCCCATTTCTGCTGGAGAATGAACCCCCGGCTCCTGTGTCTTAACGGATGAGTGCGGGGGGCAGGTCCGCGAGGGTAACACCGCACAAAGTTGCCACAGACCGTTTGCCAACAGAGAAAAATACAGGGCGGTTCAGAGCACAGATTCCCTCCCTGATCCAACACAAGCCCCAAACCCTCAATTATCGTCAACATACTGGGATTTTTCTCTTTTTGGGGCCGATTTCTCCTCTCTGCTTCCCGCAGGGGAGAGGACAAGGCCGCAGGAAACAGGCGGTCATTTACTGCAGGCAGATCGATGCCGACTTTCCTCTTGGCTTCTGGCCACTGGCGACGGGCCGTGTGCGTGCAAGCATTGCACGGTATTCCCAAGATTGCCCGGGTCGGGGTGAAGGTCGGGGCCTTTCAAGGGTATGATACTTAAGTATGCACGTTTCCCAAGGAAAAATTGATGTGTTATGTGATTATGGTTTTATACAGCAGAAGGGAGAAGAAATCTTTAAAAATACTTTGCAGGGCCGGGACGGGGGGGAGTCAATACATTTTTCCAGAGGACACAGGAAGAAAGTCTAAGAGGACAAGTAATTTCATGAGACGTCCCCCGGCGGGCTTACGGAGAAAGAGTCGTCCGAGGCGGAAATGGAAAAGAATCAAAGCAAATAAACAGAAGGACGTGACTCCCCACTGAGGTTTGTAAATAGAACCCCAAGGACTTGGAAAGGCAGCCGGTGCGGCGAACAAGGAAGAGGCTGAATGTTAACAGATGAAAGGGAGCAGGGAGACAGCGTCCAAGAACGGTTCTCGCTGCATCGGGATAAACGAATTCAGGAAACGTGTGCGTGGCTGGGTTCTACACGGAACGGTTAACTGCTTGCTTTCGTAATACGTGGTGTCAAAAACCAGAATGCAAACCGTGAGAATACATGCTTGTTTTCTGTAAATACGAACATATTTGGGTAATTACTTAAAGAATAATTCGAAGGCTAATCTGAAACAAAAGTTACAGGTGGTAATGTGGTACGTTGTGTGGGGGCAGGGCAGAAAAACGTTCCTCCTAGACTTTTGAGTGCTGTCCATAAGGTCTGCAAATTAAATTGAGAACTGCTAGATCAACGGGAAAGTCACATCAATGTTATTCTTAACTTTACGTCTGTAGGGGGAACTTCATAAAAGACCATTAGGCTTGGGTTTATATACCATTTAACCAAGGTTGGGAAATGGTGGAGGAGTGAGTAGACAAAGGAAAGGGGGTTTGGGCTGCCAGAGGTGATAAATAATTGTGGGAGGACGGAGGCAGACCTGGGTGGGCGCATCTGTAAGCGGCAAACATTGCCACGGGCGTCTGGAACCGACTCGGCCCCCAAGAGCCTCGGGAAGGAGCGTGCCCCTCACCGCCTGGACGTCTAGCCTCCAGAGCTGGCAGAGACTCAGGTCCTGTGGTTCTAAGCCACGCTGGCTGTGGTGCCTTGTTACGGACGCCCCTGGACGACGTCGTGCGATCCACGGACATTCACACACCAGCTCTGCCCAGAGGAGCATGTGTGTTAGTGGTACACGGGCAGCCGTTTCTTCATCTGGGAGATCGGCAAACTTTGCGACGAGGAGACCCTCGTCCGTTCTGAGGACGGGAACCGGGACGGGGATACACGTCTGCTTTGGGCCCACGGAGGGGAGAGAGCGCGGTCCCAGGCCCTTCCTTGCCCGGCACATCGTGGTGAACAGTGGTCACCCTTGGTGTCGAACCCAAGCTGGGGTAGCGCAGATAAGACCCACAGAGGACCTCGTCGGTCCTCAGGTGTCCACGGCTACAGGAGGCTGGACAGCAACACAAGCCGGGGTGCAGGGCAGTCTAGACGTTGCTGGAAAGGTGTTTTCTTAGCTGGGAATAACACTGAAATCGGTAGATTTGGAGGAAAGTGGGTCACCCTCCAAGGGGCGGGTGGGCCTCGTCTAATCAGTTGAAGGCTTTAAGAGGAAACATGGCGTTCCCTTCAAAGAGGAAGGGATTTGGCCTGGAGACTGCAGCTTTGAAATACTCCCTGAACTACCAGTTTTTAGGCTCCAGATGGCAATTCTGACTCTTAGTTGCTTCACCAGCCTGCTTGTCAACCCCATAGAGGCGGGATTTGTCAGTCTCTCTGATCTGTGAGCCAATTCGTTAACGGAATCCATCCAGGGGCTCCTGGGTGGCTCAGCTGGTTGGACGGGTGAGTGTCGATTTCCGCTCAGGTCACGGTTTCACCGTTTGTGGGCTCGAGCCCCACGTCGGGCTCTGTGCGGACAGCTCGGAGCCCGGAGCCTGCTTCGGATTCTCTGTCTCCCTCTCTCTCTGCCCCTCCCCTGCTCACGCTCTGTCTCTCCCTCTTTCAAAAATAAATAAACATTAAAAAATTTTTTTAAATAAAAAAAATTTAAAAAGCAACAAAAAAACCCCCAAATCGATGTACCTCTGTCTCATAATATATATATAATAATCCATCTTATGTAATACATATTTATATATAACATATATAGATATAAACATATTATTATATATATATATATGTTTTAACTTAAACAATGATAGTTTTATCCCCTCCTCCCAAAACGAAATCTATTTTTTTAAATAAAGCTATCCGTTTCTTCATGAGTCAGTTCCATTGATTACCAGCAATTTTTAACAGACTCTGCCCGTGTGGGTTTTGGAATGCTTTACCATATCCTGATTTATGCCTTTGCAAGAACACGGATTGCCAGAAAATCCGTCCTGGCGGTTATCACTACCTCCCAGGGCTGTTTACATCAGGTGGAGGCTGGGGACCGAGTGCTTGTGTTGGGCTCTGTGCTGACAGCTCGGAGCCTGGAGCCTGCTTCGGATTCTGTGTCTCCCTCTCTCTCTTTCCCTCCCCTGCTCGTGCTCCGTCTCTCCAAAATGAATAAACATGAAAAACAATTTAAAAAAAATGAAAAAAACAAAAAAAAATTCCTACAACTAAAGTATGCATTTCAGGATGTAGTAACACAAAACACGACAAAATGTTTGCATAAAGTTATTCAATGATTCCGATCACAGCGGAAAGTGTCAATTGCTGGGTTTGTACCGCTGGGCCGTCTTCTTTCCTGGGATGGAGTTTTGAGTCTATGAGTGATTGACTAGTGATATTAAGAAGATTTTTTAAAAACGAGGGGCGCCTGGGGGGCTGAGTCGGTTGAGCTTGTGACTTCGGCTGAGGTTATGATGTCACGGTTGGTGGGTTTGAGCCCCGCGTGGGGCTCTGTGCTGATGGCTCAGAGCCTGGAACCTGCTTCACATTCTGTGTCTCCCTCTCTCTCTGCTCCCACCCTGCTCGACCTCTGTCCCTCTCTCTCTCTCTCTCTCTCTCAAAAATAAACGTTAAAAAATATTTTTTAAAAAGTTAAATACAGAAGGACTTCTGGGTGGCTCAGTCTGTTAAGCATCTGACTTGGCTCAGCTCATGATCTTACAGTCCGTGAGTTCAGGCCCCACATCGGGCTCTGTGCTGACAGCTCAGAGCCCAGAGCCTGCTTCACATTCTGTGTCTCCCTCTCTCTCTGCCCCTCCCCTGCTTGCACTTTGTCTCTCTCTCTCTCTCTCTCAAAAATAAACATTAAGAAATATTTTTTAAAAAGTTAAATACAGAAGGACTTCTGGGTGGCTCAGTCTGTTAAGCATCTGACTTGGCTCAGCTCATGATCTCACAGTCCGTGCGTTCAGGCCCCACATCGGGCTCTGTGCTGACAGCTCAGAGCCTGGAGATGCTTCAGATTCTGTGTCTCCCTCTCTCTCTGCTCCCACCCTGCTCGACCTCTGTCTCTGTCTCTCTCTCAAAAATAAACGTTAAAAAATATTTTTTAAAAAGTTAAATACAGAAGGGCTTCTGGGTGCTGACAGCTCAGAGCCCGGAGCCTGCTTCACATTCTGTGTCTCCCTCCCTGTCTCTGCTCCCACCCTGCTCGACCTGTGTCTCTCTCCGTCTGTCTCAAAACCAAATAAACATTAAGAAAAGATGAAAACAAAGCGAGCCTCGGTTTTGGTTTCCCCACGTGTGACCCGAGCCTCCTGTGGGTTCACCGACAAGCACTTCTGCGCCCTACCGATGGGCCCATCGCGGCCCGCGCTTACTTGTGTGGCCGCCGAGCGGAAGGTGGTTCGTGGACGACGGTCGCCGTAAGTGTCGCTGGGACGCGCTGGCCGCCCGCGGGGCTGGGGTGCACCGGCTCCCGCGACGCTGAGCCCGAGCCCCGCGCCCTCCCGCGCCGACGGCCCGGCCCGTCTCGAGCCCCCTCCCGCTCGGCCCCCCGCGGGCGCGCACCTGCCGTGCAGGTCGCGCATGCGCAGCTCGCCCACGTAATGCGTGGCGGACGAGACGGTCACCACCCTGGCGGTGCGGCCGGGACGTCCGGCCTCCCTCAGGGAGTCCAGCAGGAGGTTGGTGAGGACGAAGTGGCCCAGGTAGTTCAGCCCGAAGTGCTCCTCAAATCCGTCTCTGGTCTTCCTCTGCGGGACCATCATCACGCCGGCTGGAAGAAAGGGGGTTCCGGGGATGGGTTAGGACGGGGGTGGGGGGGGGGGGACGGGGGGCGCTGTGGCACGCACGGGCTGCAGGGACGCGGACACAAGCCCGGGCCTGCGGTGGGAACGATGCCACACGGCCCCGTGCTCGGCAAGACTCGTCAGGACAGGCGTGTGCAAGATGCTGAGAATGAGCCGAGTCAGCAACAGGTGCGCCCGACCAGCCCGGGAAGTTCATTCCTCCGCAGACAAGGGCCGTCGGCGCAAACAAAGAGTCCCTTTTGCAAGGAGCTTCCTGGCCAGGGCGGAGCGGGCCGGGCCCACAGCCTGCTTGCTCCCCGAGCCCCTTCAGCGACAGCACTCACCCCACCCCCCACCACGCACAGGGCACCCACAAATCCACTCACTCCTCAGGGTGCCCTGTGCAAAACACATTCCTGGGGCGCCCAGGGGGCTCCGTCGGTGAAGCGTCCGACTTCGGCTCAGGTCACGATCTCACGGTTCATGAGTTCAACCCCTGCATCAGGCTCTGCGCTGACAGCTCAGAGCCTGGAGCCTGCTTCTGCTTCTGTGTCTCCCTCTCGCTCTGCCCCTCCCCTGCTCGCACTCAGTCTCTCTCTCTCTCAAAAAATAAAATGAAACGTTAAAAAAAAATGAAAAAAAAAAAAAAACACATTCCTAAAAGCAAGGTCTCTGCTTGCTACCTGCGTTCTCCCCCAAGTCTGAACACCCGCACTCCCGTCAGGGCAACGCTCGGCTGAGTCCCAGTCCCTGAATCTTCTCCACGGATGCCACGGTTTCCAGGTGTGCAGGAACCACACCCGGGCCATGTGGCTCCAGGTCCTGGAAGGCCAGCTTGCTAGGGACCCGGATGCGTGTGTGTGCGGGCGTGTTTTACGGGCATGCAATTCTGCGTGTGTTTCTCCAGGTGTTGGAGACACAGTTGCATATGGGCATGCATTTGCACACATGTGCACACGTCACCCACACACACACGGATACACACGGGTCTTACACGTGCAACAAAGGGCGTATCCCGACAGGCACTAAAACTCAGCAAAGGAAACGTTCGCAAAGGACACTGAGCATCTGCTCCTACAAGCGGATGCGAAGCCTGGCATTTTGGGAAAACATTAACGCCTCCCCAGCAGTGCCGTTGTCTTGACTGTTCTGTTGAGGGTGATGAAGTCAGATGAGCAGAGCTCTGTCTGGGCTGGGAGGGTCATGAACTCCTGGTCGGGGGAGCCTCACTCGCCACACACCCCGGCTTGCACGAGGCTGGTGGGGAGGGAAGTCAAGGCGGCCGTGAAGCAAGGCTGCGCATGTTGACTTTGGAGCCTCTAGGATGGGGGTGGTTGGTAACACAGCAGTAGCCACTGGCATGGCAGGGCAGGCCAAAGTTTTCAATTCCTGGGACGTCAGTTCATGCCCAAATTATCAATTCCTGGGACATCAATGCCCAAATTATCAATTCCTGGGACATCACTGCATGCCCAAATTAT